AAAGTTGTATATTTTGAGCTAATACTAGACAACAATGAGCCCAATGAGACTTCAATACTTTTTGCAGGTATTCTCCCTCAAAATGTCTTATAATCCTCACAGCTTGACTTGAATTTATTACCAAAAGAATCACCACATTTTTCTGAATAGGATGAGCAATAAGGTGACTAAAATTATCATATGGCCCAAATCGGCTCCTGATGCACCCCTGTCCTTTAAAAAACCAATGCGTAATTGTATTATTTCTAAAATATTTTTCCTCAGTCTGAATGTTATGGCAAATTTTACCTCATGTCAAGCAGCTGCTTATCTAATAATCTATTCTAACTTTCAAGGAAGAAATTTGCCCTCAACGAACATTATGATTCATTCAAATACTTGGGGAACTCTCAAGTATTTGCGCAATGTTCGATTATTTTATCGCAGAAAAGTCTTAATCTATATCATATAATTGAAGTTAACACAGCTAAGTTATAAATGACGCACGAAACAGATTACTTCCTTCCTTTTTTTCCGCTAACCTTCAGTAAAAGATAAGGATTATATAAAGGACATGCGACCTGTTCGTGTTTAAATACCATTTAAGTTCACTCTATGTTTTTCATTCGATAGATGAAATACAGGTAAGTGGAAAACATGAAAGTTTTGACTAATCTATGTGAGCTTTATAAATCAAGATTTTTTAAAAAACACTAAAAGTTATAGATTCGTTTATCAAGCTATATTAGATTCTATAAAATGGAACAATGTCTGATTTTATTAAACACCACTTCATTAAAATGTTGTGCACAATTACAACATTGAACTATTGAAACTGAAATAGCGCCTATCAGTCTGCTATTGATGGTTCGATTTGTTCAAGCTTGCAGGATCCTATTATTTCATGCTTTATAAAATGAAAAATACTTTTGCATTGTTCTTATGCGAAACCCTTCTGAGTTTAATAGAAAATTCGAAGAGGCATATTACAGATCTTCAAAGATTTGTGAAAAATTGCTTATTTTATTGAGGTAACGGCCTACTTTTGGACCTTAAACGTAAGTGGGACAACCAGAGAGAAAAATCGCCAATAGTAAATACTAAACGAACATCATAGATTTATTGCCCATGCTAAAATGTGTATCCTGTAGAATTTTCAATGCTCCAATTCATGAAAATGAAAGAATATTATCAAAATAACCCCATTCAAAATGTCGCAAAATCGGCAAGAAACTGTTTTGGGGCTTTTTATGCAACCTCAATATATTAGGCGAAAAACATATGATAAGTCTAAAAGTTTTGCTTAATACCTAATAATGTAAGCTCCACAAAGGCAGATAGATTTACGTGAATTTGCAATTATCGAATAAGTACTTTCCTGTAGCGCTCGGTCATCTCTTGCGTACAATAATTCTTAGAACTATATCCAAATTGAAATGTTAGTCATTTCATTCAGTATTAACACTATTTTAATAAATATGTAAGTTATCGGGAAATAAAAATACCAATCGCATTAAATATGAAGTAAGAAGGAATTCATGCAATTTTCACGTTTTTATCAGACTTGGTTGATTTTGATACTACGACGTTCTATTTCACTAATAATTCTTGATCTATTCACATTGTAGTGACAAAATGATGCAGTCAAACGAAAAATCTTCACGTAGTGTAACCAAAGCAAGTGTAATCGTGCTCGGTATTTTTACTTTATTTACATTTGTTCTCTTTGCTCTGGTCGTTGCAACACTTGCAATAGTCGTTAAAATGAACAACCGATATGGTGCTTCTTCCGTGATCAAACCTGTGACAATTCCAAATAACTCAGTGGTAATATTGGAAAGCAATACAACTGTTGTTGCTCCTATTAAAGACTTAGCGACATATCATTTTATTATTGTTGGTTGCGGTACAAGCGGAGCTGTACTAGCATCAAGATTAAGTGAGAATCCAAATTTTCGTGTAATTTGTATTGAAAAAGGACCCAACGATCTTCCGGATGCCAATGCTTGGAATGGAATGAAAATTCCAAAGGATTTAAATTTCATCTCACCTCATGATCCGATTGCTATAAGCACTCGTCAACAAATTCAAAAGAGACCAATTTATATTGCTCGATCCATGGGTTTAGGCGGAACATCAAGGATATATGGAATGATCACTGTTAGACCTAGTCCAGATATATTAAAAGATTGGCCTCAAGGATGGCATTATGATGATCTATTGCCATATTACAAGAAATTGGAAGATCATTATTGTTACTATGATCATACAAACATTTCGACAGATGAATGTGAATTGTATCATGGTAAATCGGGTCCAATGCAAATCAACAGTCTTGACCCATCAGCATTTCACAAAATCAGTAAAGCTTTTGCCGAAATTTGCTATGATTCAAGTCAACCATGGAATGGTTATTCAGATGATTACAATGGAGATATCATTAATAAACCATATAGCTGTTCATTGTTTCAGCAATTTAAATACCGTTTAAACCGTACTTCAAGTACATCACCATTTTTTCGTGGCAGCAGTAAATCTGGTTACTTGACTTCCCAAGTTTTAGATCGTCCAAATCTTTCAGTCATTATTGATGCAACAGTCACACGAATTGTATTCGATGATACGAATCGTGCAATTGGCGTTGAATATTTTGATCCAATGTCACACACAGTCAAACGGATTCATGCATTTTATGAAGTTATTCTTGCAGCCGGAGCATTTGCTACTCCTCATTTACTTCAAGTTAGTGGAGTAGGAGATCCTGATCATTTAAAAAAAATTAATGTAACACTTGTCGCCAATAATACACATGTTGGTAAAAATCTAGCAGATCATGTAAGTATTCCATATGTTGTTCAACTTAATGTTTGTGATGAAGCATTAAGTGAAACGAATGGACCATTTTCTTGGCTTATACAATTCAATTCTGGTGTTCGTAAAAATCAGAGTAGAAATATCCGTGATATTCAAATATATTTGCTGGATACAGCTGACGGACGATTTACATATTCAGATCGATTCTGTTCTAGTGAGTCAAAAACTGGCTGCGATGCTAACAATCCGACCAATTCAACTTTTCGTGTTATTCTTCAATCCAACGATTTTTCATTTGGAACAGTGCAAGCTTTAACAAGTTCAATATTCGATAAGCCGGCTATTGATTTGGGTTGGATTAAATTTAGCGAGAACGACAAAAATACTCTTTCTGTAGTTTTTGATCTATTACGTTCTCATACAACGAATAAATCAACAGAATTCGGTAAATTGATTGCACGTGAAATCCTACCTGGTGAATTAACACTTGATGAATATTTACAAAATCATGCTGACAGTGCACTTCATCCTACTTGTTCATGTCGATTAGGTTTATGTACTGATGAACAATTAGTTGTACGTGGAACAAGATCATTACGTGTTTGTGATGCTTCGAGTTTTGGTTCACAAGTGGATGGGAATCCTTCTACAACAATTTATGCTATGGCTGAAATGCTTTCCGATAGATTAATACAACAATATACAATACAACCACAGATTGGAACATGGAAAATGCGCGATACAGTATTAATATTTGAAAGCAAGGATAGCTCATCACATTCAAAAATTGCTTCATTTGATTTGGAACAAACATTGATTAGTACAAATCCAAATAACGAATCTGATTGGTATTTATTAAATGCATTTATTGTTCCTCAACTAAAAGATTTAAATTCACATGGTTACAAAATTGTTATTTTTATGAATCAACCTAATCTATGCAGCAACAACAGTAACGATGATACATCACAACTAAACATCAGACTTCATTGGCAATCCAAAATTGAAACAATCGTCAAAGCACTAGAAGTTCCTATGCAAATCTTCATCTCGACATGTTACGATGACTATCATAAACCGCATGCCACCATGTGGCATGAGTTTGCCTGGCAATTCAATGGTGGTGTTGGCATCGACTACAAAGCTTCATTTTATGTTGGTCATAAAACAAAATTAGACGACTTATCCGACATCAATGCGCAATTCGCAGCTAACATTCCACTAGCGTACTACTTACCTGAACAACAATTTAGTAATCATTCTTTAAGTAAGAGTATGAAACGTTTCAATGTAATTCAAACTGTTCAAATACCGGCTTCAGCTGATATTGTTTGGAATTTGATTGGCGGATTTTTCGATATTCATAAATGGCATCCACAAATTTTAGCTACTGAAATGAATGATCACCAACCAATGCCCATAAAACGTCGTGTAATTTTTGCCAACCAAATGATTGATACCGTTGAACAATTGGACTTTTTAGACAATCATCGACGAGAGTATCAATATATAAATGTTGGTGGTAACTGGGGTAAATTGGTACAAAATTATAAATCAAAATTACATGTAATCGAAGATAACAATGGCCAATCATCTATTGTTAGTTGGTCTGGTTCATTTGATAGTTATAATGATATAGTTAGTGACTTTTATCGTATTGGCCTAAATTCATTAGCTGGTTTATTTTCACCACCGTTGCCATGTTCAGGCGGAAATAGCTATTTCAACAAGACATTGCTAATGAAAAATGGCCGACCAAATCTACATGTTTATTGGCGTCAAGAATATAACATCAATGCAAGTGAATTGTGGAAAATTGTTGGTGTTTGGAAAGGTAAATTAAATGGGCTACCATCTATTGAACCTGGATCAGAGTATAGTTTCAAATTACCAGATCCAACGCCGAGAATCTATGAAACTTTGTTGTCCTATGATCAGGCAAACTATGAATTTGTTTACTGTATGAGACCAACTGTACCACGATCATTACCCGTCACGAATTATGTTAGCATGAAAAAAGTGGTTTCAACCGGATCTACAACTTCAGCTTGGATAAGAACTGGACATATGCTTGTGGATGACGGAACCACTGTCGATCAAGCTGCTTATCAAGTTCTCATGGGTGTCTTTGTGGCTGGTGGAGAACGACTTCGTCAACAATTACAGAACACTACTAGAAACTTGTAGGTTATTTGTTCATTCGTACGAAAATTGTTATAAATATTTTCTTTTCTAAAAGTACATCAGACATGAAATGAATAGCATAATCTAGATTCAATTAAGAAAATAGAAGGACTTGCGTCTATGTCTTTTAGTGAGATGTAATTACAGTGCTGTTAAACTACTTTAATGTATATCAATTGACATGCAGTGAAAAACCTAAAACCAACGTGCAAATGACTTTGTGGATGTGGGTGTTTGTGTGGTTAGGAATAGCTGTTGATGTGTAATATGCGTGTGTGTTTTCTCTTGTGCCGTACCTACACTCGTACGTAAACACGGAGGTTTATGACGTCCTACGAATTATTTTATGACTGATATTGTCAAGATAATAACAATATACCTTGAAATGATGTAGTAAATAACGTTACCATACAATCACCAAAGAAAACTAATGAATATTGTCTTATAGGGCAAACAATTTTGAATATTTTCATTCAATTGCATGATGAAAGACCATCGATTCACTTAAGTTAATCATTATCAATTCGATGAAATAGACAAAAACATTTTGTTTTACTTTTAATTGCATTATATGACGATCATCGAATCAAAATTTGTTTTCACTCAAAGCAAGTTTAAAAGTCTCTAAAAAGATTATAAAAAAGCGATTGGTACAATCTCTATGGGACTAAAATACAAAACACGATCTAGCTGCTGTTGCTAACCACAAGGAGATTGTAACATGTAGCTATTGATAACATTTATAGAGTTACTTATGTTATATTTCATATACAGATAAAGTATTGTACTGCTCTGAGTTCATGTAACAAATGAACTTCAGGATGTTTCAATAGACCATCAACAGCTAAATCTTCGATTTGATCAAGTAGATCATTGTATTAAATAAATGAGCATTCAACTTCAATATGTGTATATCTAAATATTCATATGTTATAAGAACAATTCAATAGATCGATAATTCATTTTTATTTCTATGACTCACTCGGCTACATGACGACGTGTACATGATTGTTTAGCTCACTATGATTGTGCAATATAAAAGACATCACCCAAAGCAGGACAAGCTGTTTTAAGATATAATTGTGACCTTCAAATTGAGTTTGTACTATGTAGTTTGGGTGAAAATGTCTAAATATCACTCAATTAGCAGATTTAATATGTTAGAAATCCTAATTATTTTCTTCATAATAGCCTCGATCAAAAAAAATGTTGACAAAAACCTCGTGTAACAATCGAACGAAATCGTAGAATTTTTGATCTCTACAAATATTTTCAGTTAGAATTGGTTGCTTAGCCTTTGACTACTTTCTTTACAATTGAATTCCAATACTGATTCTTCTAGATGAATTCAAGTGAATTTTAATCAACTCCCAGTCACCTTTGCAATACAGTGTCTGATCGAAGCCGTAATGGAATCTAGTTGTAAGAAAATTGATGAAACTAATCACAACTCTTAGCACTAACACGCGAGATGTTGAATATAGGTTATGTTTTCGAAATAGTCATTTTAAAATTGAATCCAACTAGATAATTGTTGAAATAATCTGAGTTGGAATGACGATAGAATAAAAAAAGGGCATTAATCTATTTCTTTGATAAGTTTTGTCTGAAAAAGCGATCACGGTAGATAACAAATAAAAAGACTATCTATTAAAAATCCTCTTAGCATACATTGAAGAAAGCCTGTTCCATCACGTACGTAAAATGATATTTGTGAAATATTTTGCCTAGAAAATCAAAAGAAAATGAATAGATACCATATTTTCTATGGTTTACCTTGTCTTCGAATTCGATGTACTCACCCAAATATTTTCACTCATTTATCCTGAAAATCTCGAACATGTCTGATCTTGATCTGTTTTTTTTTTTAAATATAATTCATATATGTAATGATTTTTTTTCTAGAATAAAATAACGGGAGAACGAACTACTTCTACTTTTTGCAAGGACTTAACTTCTTTGATTATTATTTGCTTGGCCTCTTCTAATTTTTCTTCGCGTGGCTCAACATCTTCAAGCTGAAAGAAAAAAATATGCATGCATAATTCATCCTCTAAACAAGTTCTTTTACTATGAATATGTGTAGAAACTGTAGTTCTTATTTGATATCAAATTGAAATTTATTATCTTACGACAGAAAATTCAAGATTTTAAGGATTGACTCCACGCTACGAACTACATCAGAATTCAAAAAAGGTACTTCATAAAAACTTGATTTTCTAATCTCTTGGAACAAAACAATGTCTTCTCTCATTATTTCTAGATTTTCAATAAGGAAATGTATCAATTAAATTTGTTTCTGAACTCTTTTCATTTAGTTACAAGAGTATTTTTCATTTCAATGCATGTAATATGTGACATTATCTAACAACAAATAGACTGAACTTCTTGACAAAGGATGGATGTATGGTGTGGCGTGGTGTATAAGGCGTGTATTTTCATGGTGCCCATGCCCACACCCACACCCTCAAGTACCTGCCAACTGAGTTGCAGAAAACGTTTTATTCCAATTATATATGCCGTTTCTTATCCCACGTTATTATTAGGAGAAAAGATGTTATTTATTGAAAATGTATATGACAACACATGTTAGTTTTCAAAGTATAATGATGTTAATTGAATCAAGTAAATTAGTAGAAAAGTGATTATAAATGGAAACATTTTCGGAATGACCAAATTTCATTGTATGTCTATCAATTATAACAATTTTTATGATTTTGATATATTCATTAATGTGAAATTTTTTTGAAATAAATTATTTTAAAACGTCTGAAAATATATCATACATTAATAACACTCAGAGTCCTTGAGTTACTCATGTTGGCCCTTCGTGGGACAGCACTGATCAGTTTTGTATATAATATAATTAAAATTTTGATGTTCGATATACGAATCTTGAATTTCTTCAGAGGCTAAAGACACTCAATCATCTTTAGCTATATGTAGTGGTTCAATGATTTGTATCGTATTTTTCGCTTGGAATATTTTAAATAGATCTTTATCAAATATCAAATTATTAAATAGAGTCTGTACTTAACATCGAGAAAATATTATCGATTTTTGTTCTTGAAATAAATTTTTTTATTATTGATCCTATTGATTAACAAGCAGATGATTTATTGGCTGCATCTGATTCAATATCAATCAGTAAATATTTAGCAAATATGGTTATAGACTACATAGTAACAATATAAATATTTACAGACACTTATAATCTTTGAGATTATTTTCATTGATGTAAATAAAAAAGCAATCAAGATTTATTTTTCTATTTTTTTATTTATCTTCCTATTTTATCTATATTTTCCCCAAAAAAATAGCAAAATATGACCAATGATTTGTCAATTCTGCTCCGTATAGTTTACATTAATAAAGCAAAATTTAATTAAACTTTGGATTCCTGTGTCTATGCTAGCAATATTTATTTCCCATAGAAACTATGGATGCTATTTAAATTAGTACGATAAAATAGCGTTCTGAAATACTCTTTTATAATTTCTATTGGGTTGATGCAAAATTAACGACCGTTTTTGTTAGCAATCATTTTATTCTCGCTTTCTCTTCTTTTCTTTTTGCTATTTGAAAGAATGTTTGTGATGTAGTGACTAAGAAGAGGCACTAAATCACAAACATTCTTTCAAATAGCAAAAAGAAAAGAAGAGAAAGCGAGAATATGATCGCTAACAAAAACGGTCGTTAATTTTGCATCAACCCAATATTATTTAATTCAGAGATAAACTTCAAAAAAGGAGCACAAACTTCATTTTCTAGATTTTTTTCTTAAAAAAATTTACTTTTCAATTTTGATCTGAAATTCATACTATCATAGTTAATTTCTTCTATAACACGAGACTAGCTAATACAGTCCTTTGAAAATCCTATACTTTCGCGATATATTTTGTAAGTTGGTCTTATTTTATAGAAATATATGGTTAAGAGACATCAATTTTTTCCAAAATTATCCTAGAATCTTATGCGAAATGTAAAATATAATCTCAAAACATTACCAAGGAAGCTTGAAAAATGTTCTTCATGAACTACAATTCTACTTTCTTTAGATTTTATACGAACAAGTAGGACAAGCATGAGATTTATTCAATCGAGATACGATGAAATCTTGATAATTATGCATCAAAAATCTTTCTAAGCTAGTTTTTCGATTCGATATTTGATTATAAA